TCTCTATCTTCTTAATTTTATGGAGGCATGTTTTGTGGCTTAGCATGTGGTCTATCTTGGAGAATGTTCCATGTACGCTTGAGAAGAATGTGAGAACCCTTACAGGAGGAAGAAAATAATAAAACTCAGAGCAGAGATTAACGAGATGGAAACCCAGAAAACAATCCGAAAGATCAATGAAACCAAGAGCTGGTTCTTTGAGAAAATTAACAAAATCGATAAGCCCCTAGCAAAACTCACAAAGAAAGGGAGAGAGAAAACCCTAATAAGCCGAATCAGAAATGAAAAGGGGGTCATTACAACAGAAACTACAGAAATTCAAAGGATCCTCAGGGAGTACTTTGAAAAACTTTATGCCACGGAACATCAAAACCTCGAGGAAATGGATAAATTCCTAGACTCCTACAGACTCCCAAGGCTGAACCAAGAAGACCTGGAATACCTGAATAGACCTATCACCATCAAGGAAATTGAAATGGTAATAAAAAGTCTCCCCAAGCACAAAAGCCCGGGCCCGGATGGATTCACCAGTGAATTCTTCCAAATCTTTAAAGAAGACTTACTCCCAATCCTCTTTAAGCTCTTCCATGAAATTGAAATATCAAATACACTTCCGAACAGCTTCTATGAAGCAAATATCACACTGATACCAAAAGCAGACAGAGATAACACAAAGAAAGAGAACGACAGGCCGATATCCCTGATGAACACAGATGCAAAGATCCTCAACAAACTACTAGCAAATAGAATCCAACTACTCATCAAAAAGATCATACACCATGACCAAGTAGGATTCATCCCAGGGATGCAAGGATGGTTTAACATTCGGAAATCAATCAACATAATCCATCATATCAACAAAAGAAAAGATAAAAAGCATATGATTATATCAATAGATGCAGAGAAAGCATTTGACAAGATCCAGCACCCCTTTATGATGAAAACCCTAGCCAAAATGGGTATAAAGGGGACCTTCCTCAACATAATTAAATCCATCTACCACAAGCCTACAGCAAGCATCATCCTCAATGGGGAAAAACTGAGAGCCTTCCCTCTAAGATCAGGGACGAGACAAGGATGCCTACTCTCTCCACTGCTGTTCAATATAGTACTGGAAGTACTAGCAAGAGCAATTAGGCAAGAAAAAGATATTAAGGGCATTCAGGTAGGAAAGGAAGAAATCAAGCTCTCACTATTCGCAGATGATATGATACTATACTTAGAGAACCCAATAACCTCCACCAAAAAACTCCTAGAAACAATAGACTTGTATAGTAAAGTTGCAGGCTATAAAATCAATACCCAAAAGTCCATGGCTTTCCTATACGCAAACAGTGAGAGAGAGGAAAGTTATATGAAAAAATCAATCCCGTCCACAATTGTGCCCCAGAAAATCAAGTACCTAGGAATCAGCTTAACTAAGGAAGTAAAGGACCTGTACAAAGAAAACTACAAAACGCTACTTCAGGAAATAAAAGAGGACATGAGGAAATGGAAAGACATCCCCTGCTCATGGGTCGGGAGACTTAACATTGTCAAAATGGCAATACTACCGAAAGCACTGTACAAATTCAATGCAATTCCTATAAGGATACCCATGACATTCTTCAAAGAAATGGAGCAAACACTCCTGAAATTTATATGGAACAATAAACCCCCACGAATAGCTAAAGCAATTCTTGGGAAAAAGAAAATGGGAGGAATCAACCTCCCTAACTTCAAACTTTACTACAAAGCGGTAATAATCAAAACAGCATGGTACTGGAACAAAGGCAGAACTGCAGACCAATGGAACAGAGTTGAATACACTGACATCTCCCCTCAATCATATAATCATCTAATCTTTGATAAAGGTGCAAGAAATGTGAAGTGGAGTAAGGAAAGCCTCTTTAACAAACTGTGCTGGCATCACTGGACGGCTACATGCAAAAAAATGGGCTCAGAACTCTGCCTAACACCATGTACAAAGGTAAGATCAAAATGGATTAAAGACCTCAACATCAGACCAGAAACCATAAGATACATTGAAGACAAAGTTGGTAAAACCCTCCATGACATTGAGGCTAATGGTATGTTCAAAGATGACACGCCACTGGCTGAGCAAGTGAAAACAGAGATAGATAAATGGGACTATCTTAAACTAAGAAGCTTCTGTACCTCCAAAGAAACAGTGACCAAAATAAAAAGACAGTCTACAGAATGGGAAAGAATATTCGCCGAATACACATCTGACAAGGGGTTGATATCAAGGATATACAAAATACTGGTTGAGCTCCACAAGAAGAAAACATCCAACCCCATCCAAAAATGGGGCAATGAAATGAACAGAAACTTTCTCAAAGAAGAAATCCGAATGGCAAAAAAGCACATGAGAAAATGCTCTACATCATTAATCATCAGGGAGATGCAGATCAAAACCACAATGAGATACCATCTCACACCTCAGAGACTGGCCCACATTCAAAAGAACAAAAGCAACCGTTGCTGGCGCGGATGTGGTGAGAAAGGGACACTTCTTCACTGTTGGTGGGAATGCCGACTGCTTCAGCCCTTTTGGAAAACAGTATGGACGTTCCTCAAAAAATTAGAAATTGAACTCCCATTTGACCCAGCGATACCACTCCTGGGAATTTATCCCAGAGAAGCAAAAATGTGTAGCCGAAGTGACATCTGCACTTGTTTGTTCATTGCAGCACTCTTTACAGTAGCCAGAAACTGGAAGAGACCTGAGTGCCCAAGAACAGATGACTGGTTAAAGAAACTTTGGTACATCTACACAATGGAGTACTATGTAGCTCTTAGAAAAGATGAAGTCATGAATTTTACATACAAGTGGTACAATATGGAAAGTATCATGCTAAGTGAAATGAGTCAGAAAGAGAGGGATAGACATAGAAAGATTGCATTCATCTGGGGGATATAAAGTAACAAAATATGAGATTAATACCCAAGAATAGCTGAGATCAGCACCAGGAGAATTACTCCATAACTTAGAGGCCAGCCGGGTATTCTAGGGGAAAGGACAATTCAGATAGAAAGGGCAACACCAAGTGGAGGGTGTTTGGAGGATCCTCCCAGGAGGGGAGATGCAGGTTGAAAGTAGACTGGACTGAACATGTTCACCACTCAATGCCTCTTTTGCTGATCACAACACCCAAAAGGAGAGAGAGAACAAGGGGGAGTGCCCTGCCACAGTGGCAGGGGGGGATGGGGGGATGGGGGGGGAGGGATGTTGTCCTGGTGGTGGAAAGTGGACACTGGTGGAGGGATGGGTATTTGATCGTGGTATGACCGAGATCCAAGCACAAAAATTTGTAAATCTACAACTGTACCTCATGGTGTTTCACTAATAAAATTAAAAAAAAAAAAGAAATAAAAGAAATATCACTGAATAAAAAAAAAAAGTATTTCCTTATCACCTTAATTACTGCCAGGTAGGCCCTAGTTTTCATAAGCACTGTAAAGGTATGGTTTCAATGATCCCTGAGCACAGCAAGTTATGGTTCTAAAGTCAGCTGAGCAGTGTCCAGGAATGGCTCTGTTTTCCCCTACCATAGAACCCCTAGACTGAAATTGGGAAAATTATACGTGGCAGTGGCCCCAGGGTTCCCTGCCATTGAGGTGAAGGCTCAATTAAAATTTCAATGAAATAAAATATTTTTTTACATTTTTTTTACTTGACTTTGAGCAACTACCAGTGATGCTCAGAGGTCGTTCTTGGCACTTCACTCAGGAATTACTCACGTTGGTACTCATATCAGGGGTATCATCTGAGATGCTGGGAATTAAAACTGGTCAGACAGGTGTAGGCCAAGCTCTCCACCCATTCTACTATTGCTAAAGTCCCTAAAATAATGTTCATAAAATGATGTAGTGATTTTACTATCTTCAGAGAAATATTAAGATTTGTTGAAATTGGAGAAGTTGTTGGGTAAATGCGGAGCATAAGGGACCACAAAGAAGAGGGAGGACCTCCCAGAGACAAAGAAACTTCAAGGGAATCTAAGGACAATATAAGAAAATGAAAGGAGGTCCTGGATGAGAAGGACCAAGTGCAGGTAGGGCACTCATCTTGCACGTTGCATGCATGCACCCGAGCCAGGATTGATCCTGTCACTCCATACATAGGGTTCCTGAACCCTATAAGGAGGGATTCCTGAGAGCTGAGCCAGGAGTAAGCTATGAGCACTACTGCGTGTGGACCCCCAACAAAGCAAACAGTTCAGTCCCCCCAAGAAAAACCCACTAAAACACAACACCCCTATTTTACTTCACTAAAGCAAAACAAAGAAATTCAGAAAGTCAGTGAGTGACGAAATGATTGTCATTAGGAAAATAAAATTTCGCACATTCTCTGCTGCCTACAGATACAAGGTGTGCCATGTACCTGCTTTTTGCTGACCTCCTTACATTTTCCAAATCAGCTAACTTACTTTACTTAAAGAATCACAAAAAGCTGCAGAAAATTTTTTTCCACATCTTTTTATATAAAGCTAAGGACGAATCATGAAAGCTTTGTTTAGAGAGTTTAGGAAGGAGTTATCTGTGTGGTGTCAACATACAGAGAGACAACTAGACAAAATGGCTGCCATGCAGGTACTGTCCACTGATTGGGCCCTGCAGCGGATAGAAGGTGCCATGGGCATAGTAGCACCTAGGCAACTGGAAGGTTGGGCTTCCTGGATTCTGTCCCCGCTCAAGATTCCAAGTCTGTTACTGGACTCTAGCTTGCTAGCCGGCACACTGGGTCCTCATTCTGCTGGAGTCTGAGTACAGACATTGTGTGTGACTAACCTCTGGCAACTTGAACCTTGTTCTAGTTGTTTCTCTCAAGTGTTGTGGTGCTAGCTGTTCTTTTCCAACAGTAAGTTGAAAGCTCCTGAATGTTCACCCCCTCAGTCCTGAGAAAATCCGTTCATTCCTTTTTCTTGGATTTAATCAGTCATGTTTTGGGTTTCATTCCACAGTCCTGGTGCTGACATCTCTGCCACACAACTGGCATGGCAGTGCACCTTAGCCCTCTGTGTGAGCCGAGGGACGAATCGACTCTCCTGGATATGAACCAGGAACTTCGTTCCCAGCTGGCGCAATGCAAGCAGGAGTTGAGAGATGTCAAAGAGAACTTGCTTGTATCGGAAGCTACAGCCTATGTTCTGGCCAACCACCTGCAGAAAACCAGTAAGTGTCACAGGGTGGGCCCTGGTCAGGAGAGTGATGAGCTGTCTCCCTTCTAGAAACCAAAAAACTCCGTGGTTTTCCTTTACCCCCTTTATCAAAGTCAGTGTAACTCTGTGACCACATTTCTGAAGAGATACAAGAGAGTGTTTGACTCCATTTCACGGAGGGTGGGAAACTTTCACACTTCCAGTCACTGGTTTACAAGGGTATAGACACAGAAACGTTTAAGGGATGGAATATTCATGGTATTTCAAAGTTGAGGGAGAATTTTTGGGTGGCGATTTCCCAGAGACAATGTGTCACCCATTGTAACCCCCTTGGTCAGCACAAAATGCCATGGTGTGGTAGGTATGATTTTAAGCACCGGGTGAAAATATAACAGTGAGTGTGTAATAAAGTTGGAAGGCATTCATTCGTCACCTCATCCACCATCTTGTAATTTCATAGGTTCAAACAGGACTTAAAGTCCAAGTAGTCTCAGACTCCATTATTCTTATACCTTGAGGTGTTAAGCAACTTTAACATAGCAGTAACTTCATCAACAAAACCTTTCCCGGCTACCCAGTCAGAGAAGAGAGACATGATCAAAGATGGAAGCTGATCAAATAGAAAGCATATTTGATGTTAATGTGGCAAATGGAAATATACAAATCGTATTCCTTGTATAAGATTAAGGTACTCATTTATGGCACAATGAAATGAACTTATGAAGTTCTGTGGTGACTTTACAATGGAATATATTTCACAAGAGGCATATTTTCTTGATTCTTTCTCATTTGGATGTCATTTATCATATTCATACTAGGGATTTCACCTGTCTCGACTGGTCATTCTTTGTAAATGTTTCAGAGTATTTCAGGATACTCAATATCTACACCAGCAGCTCAATCTCTCTTTAATCAGGTGAATCTTTGGCGATAAAGGATGCTCAACATTTGTACCTATGTAGGCTTAGATGTTTGGCCAAGCTGAGAATGAGTCAATGGAGGAATTGTGGGGTTTTGTAGAAACCCAATCCTGTGTATTGCGTAGTCCCTTCCTACCCTGTCCGTCCCACAATTGAAAACCCAATCCCTGTTTATGAAGATGGGGCTTGACCGCCACAGGAATCATGAGCAAGGGGCATTGAGTACTTAGAAAGAGTTATGACACTGGAACTCTGAATTTATGACCTTTTCCTGCCTCTTGGTTCAAGAAATGATGCCCAGTTTTAATGAATGGCAAAGCAAATTGGAACTAGGAAAACACACTTATCCTGGAAGGAATAGCTAATTTTAATGAAACGCAACCCAAGTTTAGTTACTTAATTATAACACATGTATAGGGATATAATAACACATGAATAGGGAAAAAAAGATGGCTTAATCTACTTCACCCATGCCACCTAATATGTCTTATAATAGCCTAACATCTACGTTAAAAAACTGTATTTTATTTATTCTTGTTTAAATATCACTGATATCACTTGCTATTTGATTTCTTTGCCTGTGATCACATCATGAAATTAAATAATATATTTTATTGTGCAAATATTATTATGACTATAGATATTACATAAAAGTATATATTGACTCAATGTATAAAGAAGCTGTGGCAAAAAACAAGTTTTCATCTTCTTTTCAAAATTTTACATACTGTTTTAGGGTTTTGGGGCCATAAGAAGCAATGTGTGCGGCCTAGTCTCGGCTTTGCATTCAGAATGTTTTCCTGATAGGCTCCGGGGGACACATGGGTTGCTGGGGATCAAAACCAGTTGACTGCCTGCAAGCCAGAGGCCTACCCACTATACAATGTCTGGATCCCAAAGTTATCAGCTTTTTAATGGTATAATGTACCCCCAGGGCTTTACTCATGAACCTACAAGGTTTGGTAATTTGGGCCAGGACTGTTTCCGGTGATAAGAATTCAATCTTTGCTAGAGGGTTCATCTAATTGAAGTAACTGACTCCACTGCTACTCTCCGTACTTCGGAAAAAATTCTATATGCAGCTCCAGATAAAAAGTAAATCAAATGCTTTGAGTTTGTTACAGAGCAATGGAATTGTGGAAATTACAGAACACAGTCAATGTTGGGGCTTACTTCATTATTGAATGAATCCTGGTCCTCTCTTGAGGGAAAAGAGCAGTTTCAGACACAACTTGACACAGATAAGTCTCTCTCTTTTTCTCAGACAACGAAGGCTGTAAAGAAATCACCGAATTGGTGTTGGGAGAGAAGCTGCAGTGTGAAGTGAAGAAGTTGGCAGATCGGCTACCTGAGCAGCTCAAGTAAGGAGGGTGTGAGTGGGCTAGCTGGTGGGAAAGCATAATAACCCCTGAAGTGGGACAGGACCAACATTGCTGGTACAAGGGAAGAAATTTCTATGCAGGAACATCTACACAAATATATCTCAATTAAAAAAATTAAAGAAAACAAGTCGAAGCTTGTCACAAAAATGAAAGTCAAACAGAATTTATAATATCATGAATAAGTATTCAATTACTGTGATGTACTATTCTGGTCTTTATTTGCTACTGGATGTCACATCCTATGGACCAGATTGGGTCTTAATGGATAACTGCAAAAACACTCACTGAAATCTTATTCAAAATGTAATGTCTATCACTCATTTTCTTAAAAATAATGTAGGACTACTGCTATTTGTTCAGCCATTGATTATGCTGATTGAACAGTCATCTATTCTGATTCTTAACCCTACTCCAATATGTGTCCTTAGGAAATGTGATATTGTAATGCAGAGCCAGAAACAACAAGTGCTCAACTTAACCCAAAAGTTACAAGATGGGTGGGGTCTCTCCTGCCTACTCCACCAGAGTATCCATCTCCTTCTAACTCAAGAAGACCTGGACAGCTCTCCGGGCCAAGTCTTAAGGCAGAAAATGGCTGAAATGCAGGGTCTGGTAGAGCATCTCATCAGCAAGCTCAGTCCCGGTGAGTCAGTCACACCACCCACTGCACTGAGCCCCAGGTCACCTGCTTATAGTGGACTCACACCTTCAGCAATAATGGTCTCACAAGCCCTTTTGGCTTTTAAATTTCTCTTAGGGGCTAGAGCCATAATACAATTGGTGGATGATTCCCTTGCCTGCAGCCTGCTTGGGTTTGATCCCTGGTATCTCCTACGCACCACTGAGCACTGACAGGAGTGATTCCTGAGTGCTGAGCCTGGAATAAGCACTGAGCACTGCTTGGTTGGCCCAATAACCAAAAATAACATCATATCCCACCTCAATAGGCCAGAGAGAGAGAGAGAGAGAGAGAGAGAGAGAGAGAGTGCAGCAGACAGAGTGCTTGCCTTCTGTGTCTGACTTGGTTTCCATCCTTGAAAAAAGAGCCCCACCACCAGTGTTCCCTAGGTGTTGAGACAAGTGTTAGCCCTGTGAATCCCTTGTGAAAATAAAGTGAAATAAAACAATCCAAAAATCTGAGATCACATTTGGGCTAACAGAAGATGAACTTCATGGAGTGCTGTGAATTAGCTAGAAGGCCGATATAATTTATAACAGGAATCAATATTCTCTCCGTGGAAAGAAGGGACATCATAAGACTGTTGGGAAGGTTCTGAGAGTCCATGCTTCTGACGAAAATTGTTTCACAAGAGAGAAAAGTGATAGGAGGAAATCTGGAATTTTTATATTGTCAAAAGCAATAAAATTTTAAGAAAAATTGTCATTGAGAGCTTGTAATGATTTTGATCTGCAATTTCAGGCTAATAAAATTGATGCATCTGAGATTCATGCCACAGACTACCCTTAACACATGCAAATGATTATCAGCGAAATGATATTTGTAATTACAGTTTTCGTATTTCACTTACTGCATTCTATATCCAGTAAATACAGGATTTCTAGTAAGTTCCATGGGAAATAGGTGAATGTGTATTTATGAATTTCTTTTTTGCAGAAAATACTGAAGAGGAACAAGAAGGAGAGGAAACTGTAGATTCAAGCAAAATAAGGTAAGGTAGAATTATTAAATGCCAAACAGATAAAGAATGCACAAATTACAAGAGTTTGTCAGCAAGAAAGTTTCGTGTGACCAAGACGTGAAAACCTGTTTGTAGGGCAGAAGTGAGAAATCACTTCAATTCAGTCAATCCATGAAGAATGCTTGTTACTTAGTTTTTTTTATTGTATGCTGTACCTGTATTTATGAAGGCATAAGCAGCCCTCTAAAGGTTTACTGCACACACCAAAAGTACCTATTTTCTCCAATCAATAAACCACTGGGTCAGAGTCCTTTCTGCCTGAATCTAATGTAGATTCAGTAGTATGACATTAACTAGCAAAGTATTTCTGAAAAAAATTGTGAATGATTTTAAAGCTGAGGACTTCTCTATAATAATGAAGAGAGGCATGACTATCCTAATATCACCTGGAATCTATTCTACCTCATAAGCTGCTTCATCTAGTTTATTGCAATCTTCTGTCCAAAATGACTTCAGACAGTTGCAAAACCTGGGATGGATCTGTGGTGTGTGTCTCTGGTTGTACCACACTGGATACTTAAGTCTAACTTCTCAGGAGAAGTCATGGAGTTAGTGCACTGACCATTTTCTCATGTCTTTCTCATGTATCTTTTACTCATGAACACTGACAGCCCAACGGTGCAACTTTGATAGAAGAACACTTTGAGCAGAAACACTGTGATGTTCCCATCAGAACAAGTGAGGAAAGTAAGTGATGAGATCACCTGGGTTCACCCTTGTCTCTTCTATTTGGCACAGTATGAATATGGAGGAGAAGAAAAGGGAAGTCCTGAGTGAAGAGGACACTGTGAACCTGACAAGCAATTTGGAAATATCTTCCAGCTATGAACAGTCCAACATCCAGGGTGAAATGACAACTGAAGAAAATACAACTGTGCTTTCAGGTAGCCTAATCATTCTTGTTTCCTACAGAATGAAAAGGAGCAAGGTAAATCCAACTCCTCTGGCTAGATCCAATACTAACCTATAAAATTGAACCAGCCTCTAGGAGTGTCATGAAATCGTTTTTCCAAAAGTGAGTGAATGTTGTAATCCTATCCAATTTCACATCCCTTTCAGTTGGCCCTTCTGTCACATAAATAGAGCCTGAGCAACAATGACACACTCACATACACTTCTTTCCCTGCTGCAGGGAACATATCTTTCAGAAGTCTTCTCTTGAATAAAGTATTCACGTACCATGTATGCTCTCATTTTCTTCAAATCCTGAAGGTCCCACTTACATTTGTTTACGTAAGGATGTTCAGCCTCTTCAGAATGTGAAGAGATTACCTTCTGTGTCTATTCACATCAACCCAGAGTGAATATCTTCTAGAAATGATCCTATGTCTTAAGTCCCTCAGTATCAATCACCCCTAGTACTAATGTGCCCACAATCTTCCACCACTGTTTCCTTGCCCCTTCTTGTCTGGTGTTCTGTCCCCAACTCAATTCCATTCACTGCTCATTAAGGCCTTTCCGGTCCATGCAACAGCCAGGTGCATTTAAAATATCAATATTCTAACCACACATCACCACAAGTGCTATGACAAATTAGCACAGCATGTAGATCCTTTTCTGGTGAACCTACTAACAGTTATCTCCTGATGATCGCTGCCCCTTTGATTCTTTTTAAAAATAATATCTTTATTTATTTTTGGGGGGTATCCCACCCGGCAATGCTCAGGAGTTACTCCTGGTTCTGTACTCAGGAATTACTCCTGTGGTGCTCGAGAGACCTTATGGGATGCCAGGGATTGAATCCCGGTTGGCCGATTGCAAGGTAAATGCGCTATCCACTGTACTATTGTTCCTGTTCATTTTGTTTCAACTTCTCCTTCTCATCTTCCTCCTCCTCCTCCTCCTTCTCCTCCTTTTTTCTTCTTCATAGAATCACCATGATGTATAGTTACACATTTTTCATGATTGAATTTCAGTCATACAATGATTGAACACCCATCCCTCTACCGGTGTATACTTTTCCACCACAAATGTCCCCAGTATCTTTCCCACTCCACCCCACCTCCTAACTTCATGGCAGACAATTTCCTTCTTATTTTCTCTCTAGGGCTGGGATGATAGCACAGCAGTAGGGCGTTTGCCTTGCATGCACCGACCAGGGTTCGATTCCTCCGCCCCTCTCGGAGAGCCCAGCAAGCTACTGAGAATATCTCGCCGGCACGGCAAAGCCTGGCAAGCTACCCGTGAAATATTCAATATGCCAAAAAACAGTAACAACAATTCTCACAATGGAGACGTTACTGGGTCTGCTTGAACAAATCGATGAGCAATGGGAAGACAGTGCTACAGTGCTACAGTACTACTCTCTCTCTACCTTTTGGCATTATGGTTTGCAATACAGATATTAACAGGTCATCATGTTTGGTTCTTTGTCTACTTTCATCACACATCTCCCATTCGCCTCCAACCATCATTGACTTTCTGATCCCTTCTCTATCCAAGCTGCCTTCTCCCCTAGCTCATGAAGCAGTCTTCCAACCGTGGAGCTATATTCCTGGCTATTGTCTCTGCTCTCCTTGGGGGTTAGTTTCATATTATGTTGTTTTATATTCCACAAATGAGTGCACTCATTCTTTGTCCCTCTCTTTTTGGCTCATTTCATTTAACATGATACTTTTCATGACAACCCACTTATAAGCAAATTTCATGAGTTCATCTTTACTAACAGCTGCATAGTATTCCTTTGTGTAGATGTACCAAAGTTTTTTCAATCATTTTCCTGTTCTTGGGCACTCGGATTGTTTCTAGATTCTGGCTATTGCGAACTGTGTTGCAATGAACATACAGGTACAGATGTCTTTTCTACTGTACATTTTTGCACCCCCAGGATATATTTCCAGAACTTGTACTGCTGGGTCATATAGAAGCTCAATTTCTAGTTTGATGAGGAATGACCTTATTGTTATTCAGAAGGGCTCGACCCGTTGGCAATCCCACCAACAATGAAAGATAATCCCATTCTTGCTACATCTGTGCCAGCATATCTTTTCTTGTTCTTTTTGATGTGTGCCAGTCTCTGTGGTGTACGAGGATTTCTTATTGTTATTTTGATTTGCATCTCCCTGATGATTAGTGATGTAGAGCCTTTTTTTAAAGGTGCTTTTTGTCTACGTGTTACTCTACCTCTGCATTGGCTGTGTCCTATTCTTATCGCTACCATCTTTAGTGTGTCTATCCTCTATCTCGGTCCAGAAGGAGTAATCTAGTGTCCAGGCACCACTACATAGTCCATTACTTTGCTCAAGACTTTCCATGAAGCAAAGCTCTGACCTCCCTCATACCAAGAATGGCCAGTTTCTATGGAGCAGCAAATATTCATTCATTTTTATTCTGTGCTTTCTGAATATCCATCCATTAGTCTTATGGGATGGAATGTTCTGCTACACTATCTGTAACTAGCATGTCCAATATGAAACAGTTAGGTACTGACAAAATTCATATAAATACAGGAAGACTATTGCTCATGGATTTTGGAAAGAGGTTTAATATTTCACAGAACTGCAGAAATCTATTGTGTTGTTTTGTTAGCCAGCATAATAGATACTTCCCAAAATTCAGGAAAGCCAATCAAGTGAGTTCTTACATTCCCTTGTCTCACAATATCTTATTGTCTTGTGCTATTACAATATCCTGTTCTCTCAGTGAAGGTGTCTCTAAGATCATATAGACACTAACATTTTAATTTATAAAAGGTATCCGGCTTTTATAACCATTGCATTTATTTATTTTTAGGAAAAGACACTTATCCTGAGCAAAGAGATGAAGAACAATTCTATGCCAGGTAACTATGAATAATATGGATCTTAAAATCAAAGGAACAATCACTAAATGTATCCAATGGTAACACTGCTATTCTCAGTTCTAGGAATTTGTGCTGAATATTCCTAGTCATTAACCCAACTATGAATATGAGTCCTGAGTGACAATATTTATGTAACCCTAGCACAGACCATTACATGACTTAGTGACATGTCTTCAGCTACTGCAGCAGTGCTGATGAGTCACAGGAGTTTGGGCACTGTACTACTGTTTATCAAATAGTCACTGCACTAGCCTTTATTTGAGTGCTGTTTGGTGTTGTCAACCGGGGTGTGGTAAAGAATGGGAACAGAAATTCATTCATATTTGTCACAGGGGAAAATGTACTTGGAAGACCCAAAGGATCCCACCAGTAAATTTTAAACAAGACAATGTTCATGTGGTTGTTGAATGGACATTTCACAAAAACTGTTGAAAAGATTCAAAGTCATATTACAGTTTTTTGATGGGCTCCTTGTAATTAATAACAATTCTGAGATGAAATGAAACAGATTGCTTCCTCAGAAAATCTACTCTTCTCTGTGCACTCAGTACCTCCATGTTGCGTACACACCCTTTGTCACTCTTTCATTACAGAACCCAAATAGAGCAAAGTAGATAATATTAAGAGAAGTTACCATGATTATTATATACTTAATCTTCCATCAAACTGACCTACTTCTCTGTTTACCAATTCCATTGCTTTGTTTTTGCACCAGTCCTCCATTATCCATAGTGGACAAGAGCTTGTTGAGTGATGAAGAAGACAATGAAGATACAAAATACAGGCTTGATGAAGTATATCTTATGCCTTCTGATAATTATGATCTCTCAGTTCCCTACAAGCCTTCTATCTACTCTAGAGAGGCATGTTATGAACGGGAAGGCTTTTCAACGGTGAACAGACAGGGTGAGCAAAACCACCTCAAAGCACCTAAAAGCTCCTGCTGAATTTCTCAGAGCTTCTTTTCTTTCACTCCGACAAACTTTAGCAGCTAGAGTTGTAACTCTGAAAACATATAGAGTATATTCCTTCTGGATGAAATTACATTCCTGGTCTAATATTTATAAGTATAACATAGGTCAAATAAATTTCTGTCTCTGATTACCCCAAATGGTGAAACCCCATCTCTTAACTGCAAGCTTTGGCAACTGTTAAAGCTTTATAGTAGAATGGCGTGTAGGGACAAAGTTCAGTGGAGGCAAAGGTGTTGAAACTTTGCTACTTGCCACAACTTCTCTATACATTGAGTGAGAGATGTACATCTTCAAAAAGTTTTTCCCCGCACACCCAGTGATGTTCAGGGGTTACTATTGAATCTGTGCTGAGCAATTACTCCTGGTGAGCTGGAGAGACCCTCTGGGACTCTATGGGTGAATAACTTGCCAGGCTGGCACAATCTTAACTCCTTAGCGACCCTCTGTCTCCAATCACAATATTGTTGTTATTGCACATGACTTAATTCGAAATTGGGAGGATGGCTCTAGTGACAGTACAGTAGGCAGAATCTTGCCCTTACATGGAGGTAAAGGGTTGGATACCAGGCATTCCATATGGCTCCCTGAATGCCGAGTTGGATATTTGGCCTGAGAACAGTGGGAAGTGGCTTGCACACACAAAACAACCTATAAAAATTGAAGCAAGAGAAGAAAAATGGAGGAAGTATGTGTTCACCAGGCTGTCCAGGGTGGAAAAAGCAAGCAAAGGGACATGGAGACAAATAATTTAGATATGTTTCTCTACATGTTTTTTTAAATGTTCATTTTGTTATTAACAAAATATTTGTTTTTTATGTTTATTATCTTGATATTCAATCAGTTGGTCCTGGCAATATGTGCTTCTGTATATCTATATATTTGTCTGTCTCGCTCTATCTTTTATTCTTTTGATTTTTTGCCACATGCAGGAGTGGTCTTCGCTGTTTGTTCAGGAATCACTTTCCTGAGCTTTAGGATCGCATGTGGTGCTAGTGATTAAAGCTCCTATTCAAGGCAACTTCCCTTCCTCCACTACTCTCAATAGCCCAATCCTGGCATCATTTATAAAGAAGGCAGAGTGAGAAAGACCATTAGAAATAAAGATGACAAAAGTGTCTCTATCTGCTTCACGCCACACTGGACTTAGAGATTGCTTTTCTTATATTTTTACTTGAGGTCAATCATGAGTAGATCAATAAGACTGTAAGACTACAATGAAGTTGTCATTTTATTTTTAGCAGTGGCCTTCGAAGTCACCGTCAGCCCACTGAACCCTGATCCTAGGCTGGAAATTGCAGATTCGTTTGCCAGCAAATCTACCTGCGAGCTAAGTGAGGAAATCATCGCTTTTGGTTCCATGAAATGGAAGGAAATGAAAAGAAAATTTCGCTTTAGTACCCGGAGACTAGCCTGCCGATTCCCAGGCCTCCAAACTTAGGGTAAGAAAGTCTCTAGAACAAGGAATCTTAGATGGATTCTTCCTTAGAGCTGCCTTTTGGATATTTAAGTTGATCAGAGTTTTTCCCTTCTTTGGGTCTATTGACTCCGCAGCTGTTGCTGTCTCTTTCTGGTCTTACTAGTGATTCCCACAGGGATGACCCTCTGCCAAGCCTTCGAACTCTATCTCTTCTTTGCACCCTGAACTTTGCTGTGTACCTGTCATTGTCCTCACTCCTTCTCATTTTTCCTCACAATCACATGGAACCTCTTAATTGGCTATGGATGCCAAGTTACTGACTCCTGGATAGGTCTGAGAAATCCCTCCATAGTCAGAGAAATAAAGAGAAGTGCGTGCTGAGGAAAGAGCGGAGGGATCTGGCAAAACCTCTGTAGCAGCACAGCCTTCTACTTGTGGGTGGCTACAAGATCAGCCCCCTATTTCCTTCACCAGAGCCTGCATGTAGCTTTCAGGGGAACTTCTTCTAATTTGTGCATAAGGGCTTTCTATTTACTTCCCTGATGCCTTTGTCAAAGTGCAAGGCTCTGTCCAAGAGACACCTCAGGACTGATATCCATTAGGAGGGTCAGAAATGTCAGACAGATGTGTCAGGTTAGCCACAGATGGCATAAGGTACAGAGTTTCCACTCATTATGCAAACACAGCAGGAAAGGTTACATTCATCCACATGGATCTGCTGAGATGTAGAGCAGGAATGTCTTCAATTGATAGTGAATACTTTGTGTTCTCTGCAGCGAAAGGGTGAACAGGGTGGATAGTCTGCAGATGGGAAGAAATTTTAAAGCTTTCATAATGAAATTACCTGGAAACTTCATTACAATTATCTGTGAAATATGTAGATGCCCAGCTTGAATAAATGTTTTGCAAGATCCAAATGAAGCGTTTACAGAAAATACATTGCTGTCAGTGAAGAGTGCGGGGATGAAGCATCAGACAGGACTGGGCTGAGGGATGGGAAGAGGGTTGGGAGCACTGCTGCAGCAGGGCTGAACATTGTATCTTCACATCCATACCCGGATCTTGAACACCACTGTAGTCCTATCACTTATGCTATATATATATGTATATATATATGCACATATATGTATATATGCTTGCTTATATATATATGTACACACACATATATTCAAACATATCCATGATGCCCACTCAAGAACGTGGAGTCACACATCTGTTATATGAGTAACAGAATAAACAAATGATGGTCAAAGGCTCTGTAGCAGCCCTTTACCTTTGGAGTATCAATGGGTTGGAGTCAAGGTCAGGTGTCCAGTTCCATTCCCTGAGGGTCTTTTAGGTTGCAGAGCTATTTCTTCTACCTGATTTTCTCCTCTACCCACCGTGAAATCCCTTAACTTTTCCTCAAGAAAATATTCAATCAGTATCTCCTGATTCATTCTCCACGTGGCCACCCTTCCACTTAGCCATCCTTTCAGACTCAGTAATCAGTAGCACTTCAAAGACTAACATTTGATTTCTTTCTCTCCTTATTTTAGACGACAAGAAGTCTGAAATTAATTGTGGTGTCTCTCCGAACACACCTTATCATAGAAGTACTAAGAAATTTAGTGACAATTAGTTTAATATTGTTCCAATAGACACTTTCTAATTATACTTTTTGTAACCATTTGCCATTGTTTCAGGATACCCTGCCCCTTAAAGTATCTGATTTACAGTTGTACATAGGAAATTCCCTATTTCCCATGCCCCATATTGAATGTGTCAGCATTGTGCTATGGAAAGAAACATTCCATTATCCTTTAATATCAATAAAATGATATCAAAACCAATAAAAACTATAAATTCCTTAATCAAATGTCTGTTTTCCTTCATCTCTTTGACTTTCACAATTAGGTATTTTATCTCAGACTATCATAGTAAGGTGAGTGTATTCCAATATGACATTGCTCTAAATCAAACTGGGCAAAGGACTTAAATGAAAAAGAATAGCAATATTTCACTTCAATATACAAAATCCAAGCCCTCACATGTTTGGACCTACAGGATACAGGGTCTAATTTGGGATAAATGTGCTAAACAGATAGAGGAAGAATAGCACAAAAGAGAGGTGAAAGGCAAACACAGAGTTTGGAGTGTTCTGATGGAACTGGGTGTACCTAGGAGCACTGTTTTGGGTGAAATTCAATAAGCCTAAGCTCCATGTGGTGATGGGGGTGAGGGTTGGGATAAAGGACAGACCAATGTTACTTCTTAAAATGCTTAGAACTATAAGCTAACACAGTGGCATCCTGGGTTCTAGGAATCTGAACTGAATAATCCCATGTATTAAGAAAGGGCTGGAGCAATAGCACAGCGGGTAGGGCGTTTGCCTTGCACGCAGCCAACATGGTCGACCCGAGTTCGATTCCTCCGCCCCTCTCGGAGAGCCCAGCAAGCTACTGAGAGTATTCGATATGCCAAACACAGTAATAACAAAGTCTCCAATGGAGACGTTACTGGGCCCGCTCGAGCAAATCGACGATCAACGGGAGGGCCTTTACCTTACCTTTTATTAAGAAATAATGTCCTTGACCTATATCTATTTTCACTGTTACTCTTGTATAGAACTTGCTTATTAAGTAAATATTTGTCGTCAACTGCCTCGGCATACTGATGATTCCAAGATGTGTACAGTTTAATGTTGTCACCTTTGAAAAAGTCAATCATAATTCTGATGCAACACGTCATTTTTGATTTGGTCATAGTGGGTATATATCGTGGAAAGGAAAGGGACTGGAAATTTGCACAGAATACATCAGATAAAGGGTTGATATGCAAGATCCAGAAAGCACTCACCAAACTTAACAACGCAAAAGTCTGATGACTCTATCCATAACTGAGGTGAGAGGACAGACATTTCCCCAAAGAAGATATATGGAAGGCCAATAGGAATATAAAAAAGTGCTTATCATCTCATGATTAGGGAGATGCAAATCAAAAACAACATTGAGAGATAATCTCATGTCACTGAAAATAGCACATATCAAGAAGTCTGAAAAAACCTAGTGTTCGTGAAGTTGTGGAAAGAAATGAACCTTCCTCACTGTTAGTGGGAATGTTGTCTAATTCAGCCTCTTTGGAGAGCAATATGGTTAGTTCTTTCGTGGCCACGTCACATTTTATATATATTTTTCTTTTTTTGTTTAATCATTGTGAAATATACCCTTATAGACAGCTGATGCAATTCATAACAAGTGATACAAAATAAATAATCTAGCATCTGCCTGTGGGGCCGCCTTGAGTGGTGATAGGAAACGTCAAAATAATGGTGGTGGGAAGTTGTAATGGTGGTGGGATGGTGTTGAAATATTGAATGTAACCAATTACAGTGAACAACACCCAAAAGGAGAGAAAGAACAAAAGGGAATACCCTGCCACAGAGGCAGGGTAGGATGGGAGCATGGGGGTGGGAGAGATACAGGGACCCGTGGTGGTGGAAAATGGGCACTGGTGGAGGGATGGGTACTGGATCATTGTATAACTGAAACCCAAGCACAAAAATTTGTAAGTCTACAACTGTACCTCATGGTGTTTCACTAATAAAAATTAAAAAACAAATTTCGAGTGCCTGGGAACAGATCATTGATTAAAGAAAGTTAGGTACATCTGCAAAATGGAATACTATGCAGCTGTTAGAAAAGATGAAGTCAAGAAATTTGCATATACATGGATCAACATAGAAAGTATCATGTTAAGTGAAATGAGTCAGAAAGAGAGGGACAGGCATAGAAAGACTGCACTCATCTGTGGAATATAAAGTAACAAAATGGGACACTAACACCCAAGTATAGTAGAGATAAGGATTAGGAGGTCTGCTCCAAGGCTTGGAAACCGGCCTCAAATGCTGGGAGAAAAGGCAGCTCAGATAGAGACGGATCACCAAGTAAAGGATGTGGGGAGGAACAATTCAGGTTGAAAGATGCGTGCCGAAACTAGACTAAAGATCGAACATGATGGTTGCTCAGTACCTCTATTGCAAACCACAATACCCAAAAGTAGAGAGAGAACAAAAGGGAATGCCCTGCCACAGAAGTGGGGTAGGGGGATGGGGTGGTGGTGGTGGGAGTGATACTGGGATCATTTGTGGTGGAGAATGGGCACTGGTGGAGTGATGGGTACTCGATCATTGTACGACTGAAGCGCAAGCACGGAAGTTTGTAAGTCTGTAACTGTACCTCACAGTGATTCACTATTAAAATTTTTTTTAAAAATGTATTTTATTTATTCTTTACACATCAATTATATCACCTGACATTTATTTCTCTGTCTTTATGCTCCCTTTACTACATTAAAGTATATGTTTTATAATTACTATAATATTATTTTATTATAGTTGTTATAGGCTGGAACAATAGCACAGCGGGTAGGACATTTGCCTTGTACGTGGACAATCCGGGTTAGATTCCTCCATTCCTCTTGGAGAGCCAGGTAATCTACTGAGAGTATCTCGCCCACACGGCAAAGCCTGACAAGCTACCCGTGATGTATTTGATATGCCAAAAACAATAACAAGAAGTTTCACAATGGAGACAATACTGGAACCCGCTTGAGCAAATTGATGAACAACGGGATGAACAGCTTTAGTGCTAAAGTGCTACAGTTATCACTTTAAAGTTTATATTCAATTAATGTACGAAGAAACTGTGGCAAATGGCAAGTTTTCAGCTTATTCTTTTCAAAATTTGTATCTATTTTTGGGGGCTACAGAGAGCAATAATTAGGGACTAGTCCTGCCTCTGCACTCAGAATATACTACTGATAGGCTCAGGGATTGTATGGGTTGCTCAGATTACACCAGGTTGGCTGCATGCAAGGTAAGAGCCCTACCTGCTGTACTATGTCTCCAGTCACAAGTCATCACTATTTAGTGGCTTAATGTATGCCCAGGGCTTTTCTGAGAAACCTATAAAGGTTGGTGATTTGGGCCAAGATTCAGTCAGTTTCACATGATATAAATTCAAAGTTTGGTAGATGGTTAA